CAAGAGTTAAGAGAGGCCCTTACCTGTAGTCCCAATGTTTAAAAAGAGAAGTCAAACATCAAAATTTTGTCCATGGGATAACGCACAGAAGCAGAGACAAATGGGTCATCAGAGCAAAGGGGGTCGGATGTGAGTATTAGGTACAGAGCAAAATGAGAATGATGAAAGCAAGAAAGATGAGAGAAACTAAGAAACAGTAGGGCAAAGCCACCAACTGGATTTACTTCTTGTTCCTAGTTACCTCCTATGAATGAACAAAGCAAGTCTGATTAAAGGGACATAGATCCATATATTGATAGATAGAAAGTGCCCCAACATACAAATAAATTGGTATTCTTGTATATATGCCATTTTCTTGTGTGATTAACTCTGGGCATAACAACAAGAGTGTGTTGTTAGATTTTATGAAGAACCATGGTACCCTGCTCCATGGTGGAGCTCGTGAAGCTCTGCCTAAAGGCACTGTCTGGCTCCTCATTTCCCATCTCTAAGGCACTGTCCTTTATTTTTATTTATTTATTTTTTGAGACAGAGTCTCATTTTGTCACCCATGGTAGAGTGCCATGGCATTATAGTTCATAGCAACTTCAAACTCTTGGGTTTAAGTGGTTCTTTTGCCTCAGCCTCTCAAGTAGCTGGGACTACAGGCGCCCACCACAATGCCTGGCTATTTTTGTTGCAGTTGTCATTGCTGTTTAGCTGGCCCAGGCCGGGTTCAAACCCATCACTCTCAGGTGTATGTGGCTGGGGCTATAACCACTGTATTACGGGCACTGAGCCATTATTTTATTTTTTGAGGCAGAGTCTCACTATGTCACCCTCCATAGAGTGTCATGGTGTCACAGCTCACAGCAACCCCAAACTCTTGGGTTTAAGTGATTCTCTTGCCTCAGCTTCCCAAGTAGCTGAGACTACAGGTGCCCACTACAATGCCCAGCTATTTTTTTTGTTGCAGTTGTCATTGTTGATTTAGCTGGCCTGGCTGGGTTTGAACCCACCACCCTTGGTGTATGTGACTGGTGCCCTACCCACTGAGCTATGCATGCTGCCCAGGCATTGTCTTTTAAAATTCAACATTTTGATCTAAAGTTATCAACTTTTTTTTTTTAAGTTATCAACTTCTTAACTTACACATTGTCTCTCATTTCTGCTCTTTGATCATCATCTCCTAAGGAACAGAGGAGGTAGATATCTGGTTCAGTTTTTCAGTTTCTACTGAGTTTAGCACATTGACTTCAAATAGTAAGTGCTCAAAAAATTATGAATAAATACTGCTGTATATTTCATTACTTAAATTCAATTGTTAATTTATTGAGGAAAACCTTTTTAGTCTTGAATTCCTTCTGGGCATAACAACAAGAGTGTGGATAATTCCATATATATTCATGAATCTCATTATGAATGAGATTATCTCAATAATCTCATAAATCTCATTATTTATGAATAAATACTGCTGTATATGGAAAATATATGGAATCCCTAAGGCACTTCCAAACTGTTAAGTATAGGGACAATGATAAAGCTATGTTTTATACATATGTTTTTAAATATCTTTATCATTTCTAGTATATTACTGGGCAGATAGTGGGACATGTTTACAGTGAACTGACTCCAATAGAGATGTTTTCAGTTGAGAAGAAATGTACAGTTGGCTTGTGAAGCTTCACATAAATTGCTTGTGAATTGAACATTAATTAAAATATAGAGAATACATTTATTTTTTATTTTTATTTTTTTTGTAGAGACTGAGTCTCACTTTATCACCCCTGGTAGAGTGCCATGGCGTCACACAACTCACAGCAACCTCCAACTCCTGGGCTTAGGTGATTCTCTTGCCTCAGTCTCTTGAATAGCTGGGACTACAGGTGCCCGCCACAATGCCTGGCTTTTTTTTGGTTGCAGTTTGGCCAGGGCTGGGTCCACCACCCTCGGTATATGGGGCTGGTGCCCTACCCACTGAGCCACAGGCACCGCCCAGAAGATACATTTATGATACCGATTCCTAAGGTGAATTTTTGACAATATTTGGAATCATTTTGTAATATAACTCCTTAACTTAGTTAACTTTTTAAAGTTTCACATTTTTATATACCAAGTATGCTAACAATGGGATAAGCCAGATTAGCAGCTTACATTTATGAGGGAGCCAACTGATTTAATATTGTACAAATTATGCTATTGCTCATAGAGAGAAGTATCTGTCTTTCTGGTTTTCCAGATGATTTCTCTCTTGTACATACATACACACTCTTTTTCCCTTGTGTCTTAACTCATATTTCAACTTTGGTAGACCTGCCCTGATTTATAATACTGTGCATAAACTTTTCACTTTCCCATACTCCTTTCCATATTCCTCCCCCTTATTTACCCACATGCCTCACCAGTTGTGAATATGGGTATGCCATCCACGGTGTCTGGATCATCCATAGTATATAGACTCTTCAAGAAATCTGTTTTTGTTGGTAGCTTTGGTAGTAACCCACCAGAAGTTGAAGCTTCCCCATCTGAGAAGCAATAGCTCTAGGTTACCCTCAAAGTGGGATTTAGGGGAGTGTTCCTTGTTTCCTTTCATTTTTCCTATGATTCTTAGCTATTTAGGGCTTTTTTCCCCAAAAATCCAGTGAAAAATTACAAAAGTGATGATTCATCTCAACTATCTTACCTTAAAAAGATTCTATTCCTTTGACATAAATAGGAGAAAAACAGAATATATAACTATAATAGGTATTTTGAGGCTGTGGTGAAGGGAAGGCCATTTGAGGCTTGATTTATCTTATGAATTCTGGATTGTCAATTACAATGGCAACAAGGACTCCCACAGATGAGCCCAGATAGGTTGAAATAGCTCAAAAAGCATATAGAAATCAAAGACCAGATGATAAGCTATAAATTGTGCTCCCCCACAACCTCCACATTCTCCTTATTTGCAAAAATCTCACTTATACTTGTACAAAGAAAAGACATGATCCAATGACAAATACTTAAACCATAGTAAGAATGTAATAAAAAAGGTCAGTTGACCACAGAAATTTGTATTTACACTAGAAAGTCTCATATCCTATGTTGAGACTTCCTGTGAGAGAACCCATTCTCTGTCACTGGAGTATGATTAGGAGACAATGGTACCTGTTCTCCGAGGAGTCCTGACTAACTGGCGAGATTGAATTATACACATGAAATATTTCAGATGAAATTCCTTTTTATGCATGGTTGTCTTCTAGAATCAGAGACAGAATTTAATTGTAATGAACAGGTCTATGGGATGATTAAGATGTCAATGACTGACATGAATCAGGTATGTTCAATACCACTAAGCCTTGGCACTTAAAAATATAAAATATCAGCTTATGAGGAGATACAAATAATCTACTTTTCTACATTTGACACAGTATGATTCCCTGAACTCAGCAAGCTACTGAGAGTATCAAAAACGCTGGGGGTCTCCGGAAGATTCACTTTTTTAAGTCTTGAGCTCAGACTATGGCTAACATCTGGGTCTAGAGGTGCTATTCAGAAGCATTTCCCTGGAAAAGGTCTGGGTCCAGAGGTGTGCCAAGTTGAGGGGCTTGGTAAAGTTTAACTGAAAAAATATTTTCTCTCATAATTTTCTCTTAGAAACCGTAGCACAGATTACAGATTAATGAATGTGGTCCCAGGAACATCAGGGTCCTTTTCTATCTCTACTACTCCCGAATAGACCTCTGATGGACCCAAAATAGCTTTCCTCACATTTATGCCCGATTTCAAACTTTTCCAGAGTGATGGAAGATTCTACATGTTGCCTGAATCTAACTTACACCGCCCCAGGTTGCTTTTTTTTT